CGTCTCTAATTTCTGTACTCCCACCTGCTCTTGATTCGCGATTTTCTCTTCTTCGCTAGTTCGTCGCCCTACAGGTTAAAACGCATTGTGATTTACTGACCCCTCCCTCACTAGTCACTCCGCACCTTCAAGCTTCAACTCTGTCGTGCGGCTCGTGCCTCGCCTCCAGTCCTCCATCACTCCATGCCTTCAACTTGGTTGTGCCTTGCCTCCAGCCCTTGGTCACAATCAACCTCGCCTCCCTCTCACAGCCTTGGCCTTGTTCTCGCAGTCGATTGGTGTTAGTCGGCAACTTTCTCTCCGTTGTTGTCCATCTCCGCCACAATCCTCGGCGACGACACTTCCCTTGGGTTGACGGCAATACCATCGGTAGGCTTCGAGAATCTCCTTAATTATTGTTGATTACACGATTATTTGAGGCTAATTTCATGGGTAGTCGTCGAATATTGGAAGTTTGTCAATTTGTGTAGAAGCTATAGCTTCAGTTTCCTTTTGTTCCTTAATCCGTTGGAAGCGGCCTTTAGTGATGAATCTGATGATTGGTTTGTCTCTGTGCATTATCATGCAGTGGAGTTGATTACTGTAGCGGAATCTCTTCTTTTCCTTTAAACTCATTGTTGTAATTTAGTTTTCGTTTTGTGGATAAAGCCCCCGTATCCTGCATTGCTTCGTTTGAGGTTTTAGACTATCGAGGATGAATATTCACCATATTATAACTCATTTTAGTTAATGTTTATGTTCCAAAGGATAGAGATAGAGTGACAAACCTTCACCATTCCAACTTTGATAAGACAATTTGAAAAAGGATAGAGATAGAGGATTCTACGGATGATTTCTATGAATGTGCTTATTATTATATATTTATTATTGCTTTTTTGCTATCACATTTATTTGTAGTACATATTAAATTTATAGTTCTTGTAATCGTATTTTTTGTAAAATGACTTCAAGCATGGATAATAGCACTTCTAGTACACAAGCGCCTACATATACAAGTGAAGATTTAAATAAATCACTATGGAGGTATATTACTAAGTGAGCTACTCATAGCGATGCAGGAGGAAATTTGTCTTGGAAATGATGCTAAAAAGATTTTAGGAGTTCATATACGAGAGTTAGGGCTCCTTTGTTGATGATAGGTGGAAAAGTAGAAAAAAATGATCTTTTAGAGATGGATAGATTAGATGAAGATGTTAATACTAGATTAACGAGTATTGCACCTAAAAATATACCTTTGCCCCCTTTTAGTTTTTTAGTTAGTGGTGGTGGTGGCTATAAGATGGATTATCCTTTACTTCCTAAAAAGGGAAGATTGGAAGTGGGAGTGGAGGATCAATTGAGAAGGCATTCAACATGTCTCAATGGGAACGTTTAGATTATGAGATTGCTAAATGTTCTATTCGGTGGGCTTGCTGTTTAACCTAGCAAAGAACCCTTACTTTTAACTCGCTCTCATTTTTGCCATTGTACCACCGAAATATAGGTCCACTTTATTGCAAAAGAGAAGTCAAATATTGATAGGTTGTGTGCACCTATTAGAAATATGTGGAGGGGGAATGATGTAAGTATTGTGAGTGATAGATGAAGTGACTCACATAGGAGACCACTTATTATTTATATGGCGGTGTCGAATAGAGAACCTATGTTTATAAAATCAATTGATTGTTTGGGAGAAACAAATGATATGCATTTTATTTTTAACTTATTAAGAGAAGTAATCAACGAAATTGAGCATGAGAATGTGGTTAAAGTAATTATGGATAATGCTTCAAATTGTAAGGGCACGGGACAACTTATTGAGCAAGAATTTCCATCCATTGTTTGGACGCCTTGTGTGATGCACACCCTTAATCTAGATTTGAAGAACATTTATGCCACAAAGAATATGGAGACCAGTCAAGAAATTTATGAGGAATGTAATTGAATTTCAGAGATTGTTTGGGAAGTTGTGCAAATCAAACATTTCATCATATGAACCATTTCATGATATTAGCAATATACAATGAGTTTGTTAACTTGAAGTTGCTTTCTGTAGCGGATACACGTTTTCCTTAGCGGATACACGTTCAAAGCATGATTATTTGTGACAAATGGAATATCTATTGAGACAATAATCAAGGGAGGGCCAAGTTTGTCAAGGACGAGGTATTGGATGATTTTTGGTGGGATTCAACTATTATATACTTTCCTTCACGGCTCCTACTTATGACATGTTTAGAATTTGTGACACCAACAAGCCTTGTCTTCACTTAGTTTATGACACGTAGGGTTCAATGATTGAAAAAGTGAAGAGGCTAGATGAGGAGCCTACATTTTATGAGCATGAAGTGAAAAGGCCAAATGAGGAGTCTACATTTTATGAGGTTGTTCATACAATTCTTGTAGATCATTGGACTAGGAACAACACTCCATTTCATTGCTTGGCATATGCCTTGAATCCTTAGTAAGTTCTAAAATTATTTGAGATTATTACTTAATTAGTTATTCTTTCTTTGACATGATATATAATACTCCTCTTACTTATTATGGTTTTCTATTTTTATTTTATTTTATTAAATAAGATACTAAATTGATTAATGGCTCAGTGAAGATCTTACTTGAGTTTCTCCATACAAGGATGAAGAGATCAACTAAGAAAGACTAAAATGCCTAAGGAAATACTTTCCTAACTTGGATGAGTGCAACAAGGTGAATATGGAGTATGTAAATTTTGCGAGCAAAAATGGGGATTTTAAAGAATTTGATTCCATTCAAAATCGGTATGATATGGATCTAAGGCTTGATGGATTAATCATGGTGGATGTGCACCTATACTTCAAAACATAGCCTTAAAACTTCGTGCACAACCTTCTTCTTCGTCATGTGCCGAGAGGAATTGGAGAACTTACTCCTTTGTGCACTCGGTGAGAAAAAATAAAATGACCTCAAAGCGTGTAGAAGAATTGGTTTTCATTCACAGCAATCTTCATCTTTTATCATGAAAAATCCCACAATATGCGGAAGGAGAGATCAAGATGTGGGATATTGGCGGAGATGCATTTGACACGTTTGAAGATGTTGGAGTACTTTGCGAGTCTTTCACTTGATGAGCCGGAAATAGAAGCTGTTGTTTTTTCATATGAAGTGGATAATGTAGATGAATCACTTCCTCTTATAATTGATGGTGAAATGATGATTGTTTTTTTTTAACTTATTGTTAAATGTTAAATTTAATGGTGGAATGTGGATTGTTTTCTTTCTCCAAGTTTTATGAATTATTGGAATGAAATATAGTTGAATTTCTCAAATTGAAACATTGAATGATATTAACAAATGGTGGATTAATATTTTTAGTGTAAATTCATTCTAGGCTCTTTTTATTTATTTGTAGCTTCGAATCAAATTAATTTGATTGAAATAATCATAAAAATGATAATTTATCATGTATATATACATTTAATATACAATGTGTTCCAACGTATTGAAATTCTTTATTTTTTGGTAAATGACGTGTCGCGTGTCAGTGTCGGTTCTACTTAGTCTGTACACACAGAGAGAGAGAGAGAGAGAGAGAGAGAGAGAGAGAGAGAGAGAGAGAGAGAGAGAGAGAGAGAGAGAGAGAGAGAGAGAGAGAATCAATTCTTTCAAACCTCCATTAATTGATCTTCGATGGTCGTTTTAAGGCCTATCTTCACTTTGGATTGTAACTCTGTTTATAGAAAGCCACATTTGATATGTTATTATTATAAAAATACACATAGTAGAGGTGTTACTGGGTCAGGTCGGGTCGAGTCTTCATGATACCCGACCTGACCCAAAAAACTGAATATGTATGCTTGGCCTGACTTGAAACAAGACCCGAACAGAATATAGCCGCACAATCAGGTTGGGTTGGGTTCGGGTCGGGTCGTGTTTTATATTTTATTTTAAATTAAGGTTAAGTTACATATGTTTCCCACAATCGCTTAGGAGTCCCACATCTCCAAAGACCTCGAACATTCATGATGCGGCATACCTCATGGGCTTTCTAATTTTGGTGATTTAATTTATGTTGTCTTGCCAATTGTCATTCATTTCTTTTCCTTTTTCGCACCTGAATCAGAAAGAACTTATACTTCTGGTCAATGGAAGAATAGTTGAGACAAAACCAAATCATTCCAAAGAACGTAGCCAAGTCTTTAGACAATTTGAACATCTAAGCTAGTGGGTATATTTCTTCCCGTGCTTTTCATACATTGAGACAAAACCAACACAAAAGAGCATGTCAAAAGTGAAATCGTGAATTCTGGGGAATGCATTGTAGTCCAACTCTGACATGAACGACAAACGTGAGAAGCTAGCTAACAATCTTCCTGTTTTCTAATCAAAGAAACTAGAAGAAACATATGAAACACCTGTATGCACGTGTGTATGCAAAAGAAAGCTAAGATCGCTGCTAGAACGAGGATAATATCAATATGAAACACCTGCATTCACGATCCATGTGAAGCTCAGGGCACTTTTGGCAATTGCTTCATTTGGTTTTTATCATATTAACATTCGATAGATGCTTAAAACACAGGAGAGAATCAGAGAAAAAAATTGGATTGCATTCGGCCGGCAAGAGCAATAAGCCCATATGAAACGGCTACAATAGTACAATATCTTAATTCTGAGCTAAATGAAGACCCATGGTGGTCTAGCAAATAAGCTAACTCCTGATCAGTTCCTTTCACTCCTCAAAGATCATAACAAAAAGATAAAAATTCAAAACTTCAGCATCTAAAATGACCCTAATGAAAAATATAATTTTCTTTTCGCCCTTCATGTAATTACCCCAATTGCAAACCCATACTCTATTTCCTGAAACCCAAAATTCACAAGTTACTTCACTTCCTGCTCAGAACCTTAATTGGATCTCACCAAAGCATTACATGATTTCACCAAGAACCATCTTTCTATTTCAACATGCATAAACTCACATTCTCTCTTTCTATTATATCACTGCAATATGTCATCCACAGATGCAAAAAGACCCATCCAGTCAAATGTTAAAAGTCTTTAATGTTAAAGGAAGATTGTTGGACAACAAATGCATGAGTAGAGGTTCATGGCTAAGTTTCTCTTTTACCCACAAGAGTCAGCACATGTAAACAACTAAAATAGAAGTGCATTCCATTTAGAAACCAATACTGATAGAACTAGCATGACCCTATTGACCTTCGAATTCAGTTCAGTGACCCCATCTCATCCCCTCAATGAGACAAAAGTGGATCAAATCTACTCCAAAGCAAACCAAACCAAAGCGACTAAAATTTAAACAAACCAAAGCAACTCCACTAAAGCAACTCCACCAAAGCAGCTCCGATGTTATACAACCTTGTCTACATGCATATTGGGACCAATTCACAAACTAGGGCAATGATAAAAAAGTAAAGCAGATGATAATAACTCCACATCTGAGATTTAGAAAGAAAGGAAACCATTCTCCAGTAAGGTCAACCTGCAAGTAAGAAATGAAGAAGACAACAATTACTAAATGCCTAATTTGAATATGAAAAAGTAAATTTGCAATAAACAAAATGGTTTAACAAGTATCAATTTCCAACTTCGTTAATCATCAAGAGAAACCGATATCGAGTTCGGCTCCATAATTGTAGTTGAACACTCCGTATTAAATTCACAATCAAAATGAGAACTTAAGTATCAATTGTAATATAGAAAAGAAAAAATATTCCACAATTATGTTTTCTGACCTGACTCAAAATTTTCTTGTTCTTCTAAGTCATCCTCAATTGAAAGTGAAAGTGGCGAGGATCGTAGCCAATCTTGAGCACATATAAGACCCTCCACCAAGCTTGGGGTCAAGGAGCTACGAAAGACATCGAGTACACGACCTCCTGTGTTGAATGCGGCCTTCGATGCTACAGTCAAGACGGGTACGGCCAAAATATCTCGAGCGATAGAAGAGAGGATAGGATATCTCGAAGAATTAACTTTCCATCAAGTTAAGATATCAAAGTTGGGGTTATAATGTTCACATCCTTCCTCCAAATATTTATCTAATTCATATTTTTCTTCCAAAATTTGTTGTCCCATTTGGCTAAGATACTTTGTAGTCATAAAGTCCGCACCAACCACGGGAGACTTTGACATATTTACCGTCCTTGTACCCTTTAATCTCAAGTTGCTTTGGGGGCATTTACCAGTGCGGTATTGCTTGTACAATGATGTCAGCGATGATGTTACTTTATCATGTAAAATTTCTGCTTGCTTGCTTTCATAAACATCATTAATCAACAATTTCACATAGTCCCAGTTATGTCGAGGGTCAAGTATGCAAGCAATGAACAAATTAATATTGATGTTATTCACATTGCCATAATATTTACTGAATTTGGTCTTCATTCTTTTAGCCATTTCCTGCAAACTTTTATCCTCATTCTCACAATATTCATTAATCATCCCAAAAAGCCCATAGACATCCTTTGCCAAATCATTACTAGTGACATAAGAAGAACCCGAAACTTTTGAAGTTGTATCAAAGAACAACTTCAGGCAAGGAAGAAGGTGACGGGCATAATCCCAATCATCACTAGTAGGCAACCCTTTTGCCTTGGATAGTTCTTCAACAAATTTGCTATCTTGAATTTCCAATAAGAAAAAAGCTTTTTGAAACTTCAAAGTCGCCTCCAACATCATATATGTCGAGTTCCAACGAGTCTCCACATCCAAACATACAAGACTCGTGGACTCAATATTCTCTAGTTTAACACAATTCTTAAATCGCCTCAACCTCCCAGGAGAAGACCTCACATAATGTACAGCCGAATGTATTCTAACAATGAAATCATTTATGTCTTTTAACCCTTCTTTCATAATCAAACTCAATATATGAGTCAAACACCTCATGTGGAGTAACTCACCTTTCAATACTAGAGAGTTCCAAGAGTTAAGTCTTTTTTTCAAGTATTGAATTCCTAAATCATTTGAACTTGCATTATCCACGGTGATGAAAAAATACTTTGAATCCCCTAATTAGTCAAACATTTCTCAACCGCCTTTCCTATTATCTCAGTAGAATGACCCGGGATTTGACAAAAACTTAGGATTTTCTTCTGCAACTTCCAATCAGCATCAACAAAATGAGCAGTGAGAGACATATAAGTCAAATTTTGACAAGAGGTCCATGTGTCAGTCGTCAAACAAACTCTAGGACATGTGTCGGAAAAATATTTCATCAATTTTCTTCTTTCCTCCACATATAACGCATAACAATCACTCCTCAACGTGTTACGTGTAGGGATTGAGAACTTTGGCCGGATTCTATACACAAATCGCCGAAAACCCTCATTTTCTACAAACTTAAAGGGCAATTCACTAAGAATGAACATGGTCGTTATTTTTTTTCTACTAGCATCTTGGTCAAATTTCCACAGACCAAATGAACTACCGACCCCAATAGGTTGACCCGAGGCATTTTTTTGCCTTTTCTCGATGTTTGCATATGGATATTCTTTACATCTATCTAAATGATGATGCATTGAACTAGTCCCTTGAGTACTAGAACAACTAATGTGGACCCCATAATATAAACATTTAGCCTTTTCTTGGTTCTTGTCTGTACATGGAATCCTTTTAAAGTGATCCCACATAATGGATGTCTTCCTTCTATTTGTGAGGCTAGAATATGTTAATGAAGACATCTAGCAATCAGCAAAAATGATTAACATTCCAGAATCAACAAAAACCATCATTGCCCAATAATGGCTATGTGCTATCTACAAAATTGATTAACATTCCAGAATCAGCAATGCATAGAAGAGGCTCATTGACTACATACCTAGATCAATGCTAAGATGACTGAAATGAGTACAAAAGTTTGATCAGATTACTCGAATGTCGTGATAAAACTCCATCGGCCACTAGCTGCAGATGAAGATAGCATGCCCACCAATCAAATTCGTAAAATCTACAAAAGAAATAAGATATGGAACCTGGCCTACCCACCTAACCACAATGCGAAGTTCCTATTTTCCATATTTTTGTCAGATTATTTAGATGCGAAAATAAACATCCAAAGAGAATGTCTTCCATTCTAGAAAAGCTGTATAATCGCACATAACACACAAAAAAACACACCTCGAACTCCTTCCCTTTTTGAGGCTTGAGCTTGAGGGATGAGATGTCGCAGCGAGCTTGGGTCGAGAGGTTGAAGGGGAAGACCTCGAACTGCTTGTAGATCCGGAGCTCTTGGCGAGCTTCGCAAAGGAGTTGGAGGAAGAGATGGTTCCGTGGGTGGTCTGGGTTGCGCGACCGGAGATTAGGTGCTTGAGAGTGCGACTGCACCATTGCGTGACCGAAGGTCAGGCACTTGCAGATCCGGAGCTCTTGTCGCGATGGAAGAAGAAGATAGGGTTTCGGGTGGGCTCGGGTGCAAGAAGAACAAATGGTTTTTATTTGTTTCGAGTGGGCTTGTTTCGGACGGGCTCGGGTAGGTCCAAAACAAGCTAAGGTCTTGTTTTTACTATTACCCAAACAAGATGAGGCCCAACCTGACCCAATACGAAAATTTCCTATTCGGGTCGGGTCGGGTCGTGTCGTGTTTGATCGGGTTCTTTTGACACCCCTAATTGTATTAGTAGTTGAAGATATGCTACATGAGTAACTTCACTGAATGTTAGACAATTAAGTGATCGATTTAAATTATGGCACCAAAATTAGTGCCTTATGAAAAATATGATACTGTTAGTATCCTTTTCTCGGAGAAATAGGCATAAACAATTTCAATTATAACTTGCATAGCTAACCAAGCAATGATGTAGTGTTTTAAAATGCTTGCATTAAACCAAATAAGTTTGTTCCAAGCAACTTGCAAAACCCTTAGGCCTAAGAGCAGGTATGAAAGGTTTAGGAACTAGAGAACAATAAAGAGTAGCTTGAATTTCAACTAAATCCTCAAATATAGCTGCAGGCCAATGCCAACGATGGCCTTGAATAACATCTGCAATCTTTGAATGGTAAGACAAAGCAAAATCATAAACCGCCCTACTTGTAAATCTTCTTAGCAGAGGTCCCCAGACATGCCAATCACCATGCCAGAGATAAGTAGTTGTCTCATCTCCGAGAAGGTGTTTGATATGAGGCCTCACAGCATCTCGAAGCTTTAACAATTTCCTCCAAATAAAAGGGGAACAAGCCGTCACGGACAGAATCCCAAATGATTTATCTTGTATCTAGTAGTACTTAAGCTAAGTAACCCATCCTTTTTGAGCAAAAATTTGCCAAATACACTTCATCATGCCTGCCTTCTTCTAGCACTAAATCCTCTTAAGTACCAATGAGCTAGTCAACAAGTCGAGGAGATGTCCCAATTGCTTGAAAAATATTAGTGTTAATACCACGAAAAATCCCAAACTGGTACATCTATGACAATTTTACCAAAAACTATTTTTTTGACCACAAAAAACCCCAAACTGATACACTTGTGATGAATTTGCCTCATACTAATATTTTGACCGCTAAAAATCCCAAACTGGTATGTTTATGACAAATTTACCCTCCGTTAGTTTTCGTTAAATTGAATTAATACCACAAAAAATCACAAACTGGTACATCTGTGACAAATGAAGGGTAAAACATAAAATTGGTACATCTGTTAATTGTCGCGTGTCATTTAACAAAGCAATTTGACAATAAAATTTAATGGAAATAAACTGAGGGTAAATTTATCACAAGTGTACCGATTTGAGATTTTTGGTGGTCAAAAAATTAATTTGGGATAAAATTATCACAGGTGTACCAGTTTGGGGTTTTTCGTGGTATTAACCCAAAATATTATGTACAAATCTCCAATCCAATGAATCAAAGGCTTTCATTATATTAGCCTTTATAGCAATTCTCGGACTCAAACCTGACCTATGATACTTATTTGCTAGCTCATAAGCTCACAAGACATTATCAACAATCGTCCTACCACTTGTAGATAATGCTGCAAAAAGATATGGGCCTAAAGTCACCCATCTTTGAAGGATTTGGCACCTTTGGCACCAACGCAATTAATGTAAAATTTACAACACCAAGGAGCTTTGAAGTTTGAAAGAAATCTTTGACAGCAGCTACTACATGAACTCCCATAATGCTCCAGGTCTTCTCCTACATAATAGGTTCAGAAAGTAGAGCCTTATTAGCCTTTATGCATGAGCACATTCAAGCTACATTCGTCATCATTCAACAACATTCGTCATGCTCTTCAACAATTACCTAAAGCATTCATCTAAACATGCTTTGAACATTGTCGAATTACTACGAAACTAGCTCAAATCAACGTGTCTTCAACTAGTGATCAATCTAAGCATAATCAACATAAAAAACATGCTCGATTATCTATCTAGAATTTTCGGTCGAGACATGCTAATGGAGTATCAACCGTGCAACTTTGATTATCTACTTCAATTGACTAAGATTCTAGTAGGGGTGTCAAAAAAGCCCGAGCTGGCCCGACCCGACTCGACCCGGCCCAGCCCTACCCCAAAATTTTGGGTATTTTGGGGTCAGGCATTAGTTTTCTCTGGGTAAGGGTTTTTAAGTATGGGTATAGTTAGGGTCGGGCCGGACCGGGTTGGGCCGGGTTGTTTTGATACCCTTGGTACTATACTGGTGCCAGAGAGCAAAAAGGGTGTGGGGGGCTCTCTGGATCTCGATCGAAAAAGGGTGGTGCTCTCTTCTCATGAGTTCCTATCCCTTGGCCACCTTCGCCGCTAGTCACCGCCACTTCCCAATCGTTGCCTCGACCACCGATAGGTGCTCTCATCTGTACGGCCGTCCCCCTCTCTCTCGCGTTCAACTAACCAACAATTATGTCTTCTTCGACGACAAAGACCAAGACGGGGTCGCAGGACCCGAGCGCCGAAGCCGCTCTCTCGACCCCCGTTTGAGGACGGCAGTGGGCCCGGCGGAGATGGCTGCTATGGCGACGTGCCTTGCAAGGAATGTAGGTCGGGAGATTCTGGCGACAAGTTGCTTCGACAAGTGCGATCTTCAGCTAGGCATCCCGGATTTGGATGGGTCGCTGGTCCTGATGGCCTCGAGCCAGTCGAGGCGATCGCAGAGCTTCGACATGCCGGGGCAGAAGTCGCGCTCGATGATCTTCTTGATCGCCGATATGTAGGTGTCCTCATCGAGGACCGTGGGCCACTTCCGAGGATTCATCGGAGGAGGGGCGGCAGTCGACGGAGGGGCAGCCTTCGGGGGCTGTAGGGAGGAATCGCTGGGGGTCGGAGAGGCGGAGATGGGGATGGGGATGGGGACGGGAGATGACGAGGAGAATGGCTGGGAGAGAGAAGCATCGTTGCGAGAGCAAGATCGGAGCTTTCTGGGGGATTTCGAAACTGGTTTTGGAGGATTTCTGGCAGATGATGGTGATGGAGAGTCTCGGTGATTTTGGAGAAGCGAGGTCCAATTAGGGTTTCCAATTCTCACCCCAATTGAAGAAGATGATGGACTCTGTCCATCACCACCTTGAGCTCTGCAATTTGTCCTCGCGTAACTCGAGGAGCTGGATGTGGTCGTCTAAATGAGGGTTTGGGATCGAACAAAACCACCTTGAGCTGATTTTTTTCTCTAAAATACAAAAATTTCGAAAATATATTTTTTTTAAAAAACTCAAACCCGACCCGACTCGACCCTACCCTTGGGGTATATGCTGAATAGGGTCTTGGGTCGGGTCGGGTCAGGTCAAACGCGACCCTATTAGTTTCGGGCCGGGTCGGGTATAATGAAAACCCGACCCGACCCGACCCATTGACACCCCTAGATTCTAGGAAAATCAACCTAAATTTGCAAGTTCTAGACTTGATTAACATGCAAGTACTAAAATCAACTTGAAAGTCATCATTGAGTGTCTCGGCCACATGAGGAATCAAGTTTCTAGAATCTTCCTAACATGCAATCAATTTGAGAATTGACGGAATTATCCTATACTCTAAAGGTTTTCTACTTCTAGTTATCAAATTTTGTCACATCCTAGTTTGGTATTGAACATAGATCGAAGATTTTGCTCCAATTTGGAACTATGTTCATCCTTACATCCTTGGATGATCATTCAAAATTAATCAATGAAAGTTTATTGAACTTCTACCTTGATAATTGAATTGGTAAGCTATGAACGAGATCGACTCAGATGGAGAATTTCCGACGATGATCCAAGGATGTGCCGACCATGGAGATTTCAAGGATGCGTAGGAAAAGACCATTATGGAAATGCCGGCAAGAGGCGGTTGTCGGAGTGCCGGAATCGGCTACCGATTCTCGATGAGAGAGAGAGAGAGAGAGAGAGAGAGAGAGAGAGAGAGAGAGAGAGAGAGAGAGAGAGAGAGAGAGAGAGAGAGAGAGAGAGAGAGAGAGATGGTTTACATACCCCATTTTTGGAGAAAATTTTGAAATTAGATCAATCTAATGGCTCACAATGATCCCTTACCCCCTAAGAAAAGCTCCTATTGGCTACATTTTGTTCACAATGATTGATGACATGTCAATTTGGATGGTCTTGATTGAATGGCTAATGAATGGTTTTGATTATATTTCACTTGGATAGGTGACATGGAAGAAAGGCATTTTGGTAATTTTTCCAAGTGACAATTTTGTAATTTTAGAGAGAGAGAGAGAGGCGGCCAAACCATGAGCTGAGCTGAGTGGGTTCGGCCCAATTGGCCAAATGGTTTGGGTTGGGTCAACCTTGGTCAAACTAGGTTGACTCGGAACCTCTCGATTGTCTAATTTTTGCCTATTCTACTTTATGGGCTGACTTGTATGATTAATTTGGTTGATTAAAATTTTATTGAGCTTCGACCGAATGGCTCGGGTTCAATTTGTTCCAATCATATCGGCCTGGCTCATACCAGATTGGCCTGGCTTGACTGGATTCACTTGTGACATTCCAATTGTTTCAATCCTCCTTGAATTGTATTATACATTTGGCTGTTACGCACAATTGAGATTCAATTGGCAAATTAGGCTTCAATTGCTCAAATTGAGCGTTAGCTCAACATGGGTCAAACCAAATTTAGTCAATTGGATTGACCTTCGATGATTTTGTCGATCATTAACCTACTAGTTTGGTCAAGTAAGTCAATTTGTTGTGATATCGTCAAAACTGACATTGGAATTGAGTTAATTGAACTTAATTGGACTCAAATTAGGCTAATCACATTACTCATGAAGGATCTATAGGGACCCCTAATTGACGCTCGAGAATCGGCCAACTCGTCTCAAGCTTGGATTCTCAAAATTGGCTTTGACTGAATATGTTACGACTCCAAGGTCAAATGCCGTGAAGGAAATCACTCTAAAAATTGACTAGAAATCAATAATTTTGAATTTGGTCGATCAATTTTGAAATTCTCGGGGTGGTCGAAAAGTCAATTCTCGATCGATTTTTGAAAAATTGATGAATTAGAAGTGTAATTAAGCACAAAAAGGAGTTGAATTAACGATTGCTTTTTTTTTTTAAAATTTTTGAAAAAT